ATGCATTCAGAGCTGGAAATATGCACGTAAGGGTGTTGAAACTCGCTAGAAATCGCTGGAACATCCGAGACCATTAACGCCTTGCTCTTCCTCCAGGTCGTCCTGGGTGGTGCCGCACACAGGGGCGCTCATGACCCAGTGGCTGGTGTACCGCCGGCGAGGAGGCTGGAGCGGAGGAGTCGGAAGCAGCAGGACACTGCCTTCCTCGAAGCGGTCCCTCCACCACGCCGCCTCCACCACCAACGTCCTGAGCGCCAGCACGGAGGGCGGAGGAGGCCTGGCCGAAGGCGGCGGGGCAGGGGGGACGCTCAGGCACCGGCTGAGGAACCGCAGCAAGTCCATCATGAGTCTGGCCACGGAGCATCGGCCGACGCTCACGCTCAAGCGCATCCTTAGCGTGCTTCTCTGAGATCCGATGGCCACGCCCCTTCGCTCTCCAAGTCTTGGGATCCTTTTCTCGCCATCTCCAATTCCACTTTCGCCTAAACATTCAACCATATTTTTCACAATTTTTTTCACACCTATCTACAGCACATATCTACGACTTGTCTCCACCATCGCCCCCTTTTTTCCAAAATGCTAGAGCCTCAAGACCTAAGAATACCCACACTGCCTCTCTCTCCCCCCCCCCCAACCCACAGCATCTACGAGCGGGACGGCATGTGGGGCATCCTCCGCCCTCTCCTTGCACCAGGGACATCCTCATCTCCCCCCCCCCACCCCATCCGCTCTGTGGCTTGTGATGGGGGAGGATGCCAGTCTCTGTGACATCAGTACGAAAAGCTCTTCAAGTGTATAAGAGTTTTTTTCAGTACGGTTTTTTCACTTTTGAAAATGGTTTTGTGGTCCTCGAATGCAAAATACGTAAAGGAAGGGAGCAATAAATAAATGGGGGAAGTGGAGAGAAAACCATGACAAGTATTTCTACGACTCCAGCCACGTTACCAAATAGATCCTATTTACCAACGCGACGCTTACGTGTTACGGGCGCGCGCAACCAGCACAGGTCAATGATTTAATTACATGTATTCGTTTTACAGTTTGATCTTCTTGATCTGTCTCCTTTTCATAAGTATTACTTGTATTACTTTCATTTAAATTGAAGTTTCATTGGCAGGTATCATATAAACTTAAGGCAGACGAGTCATCCTTGGTAACTTACACATTCTAACTTGCCATGGAAACGCACGACAGATGGTTGCCGAAGTCATTGTGATATTTATATATGGATATATATATATTTGGTGTTTTTATAATGCTGCCAAAAATGATCGTAGGTTTACTATTTGTATATAGAACGGAACTGTGCGATGCCAGTGACAGTATACAACTGCAGTGTAGATTAAATAATGTAAGAATACCGCAGAGGGTATATATATATATGTGTTTCCTCGATGTTTCCCTCAGGTCGTGTTCCTGTGCGTGAAGAATGGTGCCTTCGTCTGACATAAATATACATATCTTTATGAAATAAACACAATAACCGACCTGATTTTTCTATTTCAAGTCCTTTAGAATGTTGCAGAAGAAACGCATAAAAAAGAACAAACAAAGAAAAAAATAACTCGTGTAAAAGAGCAAAAGAACGAGTAAAAAAAACGTGATTTAAAAATAAAGCAAAAAAAAAAAAAGAGAGTAAAATAGAAGCAAAAACTCGAATAAAGAAGAAAAAAAATCATAATAAAAGAAGAAGAACAATAACAACAACGAAAACTCGAGAAAAAAAACGTGAAAAAGAAACTTAAATAACAATGTCGACGCCCCAACAGCTCTCCCCCCCACACGTACCTCTGACAAGGCGCCGGCACAAGGTGTATTCTCCGCCTCGATGGTGAAGTCAGCGCCCTCGACTAACGTGTAGGAACACTTCCCCATGAAGTCGTAACGTCGGCCATCGAAGGTAGTGTAATGGGGGTCGCCCACCACGGCACATCGAGACCCACACTTGACCTCAGTACACACCCACGCCCCGCCCAAGCACGTGCTGCGGAGAGGAACGGGTAACACTTAAGAGACGTGGTGGGTCGACGAAGCGTGAATGTGCGTTCGTCAAACATAGAGGCTTTGGTTTGGTTTCGGAGTGTGTGTGTGTGTGTGTGTGTATTGTCTATCTATCTATCTATCTATCTATCTACCTACCTATCACCCAATCAATCCATCGGTGTGTGTGTGTATTGCCTATCTACCTATCTATTTATCTATCTATCTATCTATCTACCTACCTACCTACCTATCACCCACTCAATCCATCAGTGTGTGTGAATGTGTGTCTGTGTATTATATATCTATCTATTTATCTATCTATCTACCTACCTATCACCCACTCAATCCATCAGTGTGTGTGAATGTGTGTCTGTGTATTATATATCTATCTATTTATCTATCTATCTACCTACCTATCATCCAATTAATCCAACAGCGTGTGTGTATGTGTCCCCTCCTTCTGTGTGTGTGTGTGTGTGTGTGTGTGTGTGTGTGTGTGTGTGTGTGTGTGTGTGCGAGTGTGTGTGTGTATGTATTTGTCTATACGTATGGTATCTATCTACACATCCATCTACCCACCAATGACCCAGCCGATCCATCAACCCAACCTCCCTATCCATCTCCCTACCTACCTATCTCCCCCGTCCCTAAGCACACCGACCCCCCCCCCCCCCCCTCTGACCCCCGACCACCTCAGGCACATTGCACAACCAACCATGTATTGCAGTCGTTAGGGATCGTCTCTCCGGGCTGATAATCCTTATTGTGGAAGGTGCAGGGGCAGTCCTCCGCGCGGATGCACTTGCCGTTGTGGAGGAGGAGGCCGGAGGGGCAGTCGCAGCCCTCGACGCAGAACTCCGGGCGCAGGTTGTCGGAGGGCTGGCCGCAGCGGGGCTGGATGGCGGACATGCAAGGGTTGTATTCCATGCCGCGCTCGCACTCCATCGCTGAGAGAGAGTTTTATTTTACTTTTTGATTATTATTTTGTTATTTTATTTATTAGGAAGACTATGTTGATTTTTTTTGAGGAAGACTTTGTTGATATCTATCTATCTATCTATCTATATATATATTCTTTTTTTTTTTGCTTTTGAGGAAGATAAAACCAGCATATCCACTACGAAACATCAACCCCATGCTCTTACGGCAGAGATCGGGGGCCCTCCATCCTCCGGGCAGGTCGACGCCCTGGTTAGTGCACTCCCTGAAGAAGGCGGAGAAGGACTCGCACGCGCAGTCCTCCCGCTTGTCACTCTCACAGCCGCAGTAGTCCCATTTGCAGGCAGTTACGAACGGGTCAACGTCCACCACCTGTTCGGGGTTATGTACTTTTAGTGTCTCTTATTCCGTTTGGATTTATTGTTTTTTCTATGATCTATTTTGTTTACTCGGAAGGGAATCGGGTCCCCTTTTCATATTTCGGATTTTGGGATTGGATCATGTTATTGACAGAGGGAAGAGACTCAGAGAAATATAATGTCTGTCTCTCTCTGTCTATCTGTCTCATTAACATTTTTTTTTTTATAAAATCAATATGCTATTCTCAACTCATCACCTCTTTTCTCCTAACTAAAAACCCATAACCTAAATTCCAAACCCTTTTTTATGACGTTTTCCAAAAGGAATTCGAAACGAAAAGCAACTCACCTGGCGACAGGGTTCGAACTTGGGGTCATCGCGAAGCCTCGAACAGAAATTCGTGGCTTCTGAGGAGACAGGTCGGCGTCCGCAAGGGTTCTTGATCATGGGCTGGCCGAGGCACCGGTCTAAGAGAGAAAGATATGCGTGATAAAAAAAAAAAAATGTGTTTTGTCTAAGAAAGAAAGTAGATCTACATGCGTGGTAAAAAAAAAAAAATGTTTGGTCTAAGAGAGAAAGAACATCGACATGCATAAAACTGTTTTAGGTCTAAGGGAGAAAGAAGATAGGCATGCGTGATAAAAACTGTTTGGTCTAAGAGATCAACATGCATGATAGAAACTGTTTTAGGTCAAAGGGAAAGGAAGAACGATACTTGTGATAAAAACTGTGTTTAAAAAATCGAATGGCGTTTAAATGACGTTAACAATTCTAATAGATTTTTAGATTCACCTACAAATTGACATCAAGGGAGGGTAAAATATTACCAAAGTAAATCATCCCAAAGAAGAATCTTAAAAGATTAACAAAATCATTAAAAAATACAAAGCAACAGCAACACACCTCCAAAGAAAACGGAAAAGAGGAAACTATGACAAAAAACGGGAAAACTTCAAGGGAAAACTATGACAAAAAACGGAAAAACCTCAAGGGAAGACTATGACAAAAAACGTAAAAGCATTAAGGGGATACTATGACAAAAACGGGAAACCTCCAGGGGGAAACTATGATAAAAAGCTCCTTACCACCAATGGTCTTCGACTGCCAAGCTTGGAGGAAGTTACTCAAACTATCCTCTGTTCTGCCATCGGAATAACCCCAGTCGTTCTCCCTGTTGCCGTCTCGTCGCCCACAGAGTCCAGAAGTCCTGTTCCAAAGCAGCTCGTTCACTTCCGTTATGACTGTGTTCTGTGAAGAGTTTTTTTGAAAGGCTTAAGAAGCGAGTATTTACGAGTATATCATCATCTTCACCATCATCACCACCATCCTCATCCTCATCCTAATCATTATCATCATTACTATCATTATCTTCATCATTACTATCATTATCTTCATCATTACTATCATTATCTTCATCATTACTATTATTATCTTCATCCTTACTATCATTATCTTCATCATTACTATTATTATCTTCATCATTACTATCATTATCTTCATCATTACTATTATTATCTTCATCATTACTATCATTATCTTCATCATTACTATTATTATCTTCATCATTACTATCATTATCTTCATCATTACTATTATTATCTTCATCATTACTATAATCATCTTTATCATTACTATCATTATCTTCATCATTACTATTATTATCTTCATCATTACTATCATTATCTTCATCATTACTATTATTATCTTCATCATTACTA